GTGGCTTAGCCCTTTTACCTCCTTTCCAGGTGGTCTCAGTTCGTGATAAGGCCTTAGGGAGTGGAGATGGAACATCTAACAAATGTGGTAGGAGAAACCAGCATTAAATAAGCAGCAGGGTGTTCAGTGCCTTACATTACCCAAAAGCATACATACACTGAGCGTAAAAAGAGGAATACAGAAACAGAGTTTGGGAGAGACAAACAGCAATTAAACAATGTAATAAATGCTTTTATGGAAGCGTGCATCAAGTACCAGGGAAACTCAAGAGAAGGATGACTTCATGAAAGAAATGTCATTCGAGTGAAGTCTTGTGGCTCTTGCCAACAGGATAAAGGTGGAAGCCTGTCCTGGGGAGAGGTGGCAGCATGTGCAGAGGCACAAGGGACCCTTAAAAGAACCACAAGATAAGATGCCCCAGCAGAGGGTCTCTAGAAAGTTAGGCAGAGGTTCAGTTATTTACTTGTTTATTTTTACTTACTTGTTTGTTTTGAGACAGGGCCCTGCCCTGCTGCATAGGCTGCCTGAAGCTTCATGCAGTTCTCTGCCTCCATCCACTTCCCAGTAGTTGGGATTACTGTTGTACACCACTGTGTCCAGCTTACGCAGAGGTTTAAAAACCACATCAACTCTTTTTAGAATTACAAAGTTTTCACTAGAATGTTGGGCAAATCCAAACGCTAGCACAGTTTGATCCAGGACATAAAGAGTATAACAAGGATGCTCTCTCTGTGCCTGCAGCCCCTTTCTCTGGCCTCCTGTGGTTACAAGATGGCTGGACCCCACCAGCTCAAGCAGAAGTCCTGGATTGGGTCTCTTCAGTACCCCCTGACCTCACTTGCTTAATCCCGTTTCAGCAGTATTCACCATGATTAGGGAAAGGAATCCACTGACCAGGGCTTCCTGTTTTGCCACAAAAAGAGGAGCTTGGGTACAGAAGAGCAAAAAAATCACAAATATCCACCAAGCAGAACCATTTCAGGTTTTATATAGAACTAAAATCCATATTGTTTTAAATTATATAATCTAAAATTCTGAATAAAAGATAAAAATATTCTGTTTCTAGTTCTTGATTTAAAATTTTTAAATGCTTATGGCATAATACAAAATTTCATTCATCAGTTTCCAGCAGCTTTTGGGAGAAGCATTTTCCATGCTACTTTCATGTACTCAGATAAAAACATCTTAAAAAAAGAACAGGTTGTAATTATTCATTGTATATAAAGAATTGCATATGAGGGCTTGAATTAAAGTTATAATGGAAATAATGTTAAATTACCTATCATAAAGGACCATTGGAAAATGAGTGACTCAAAATCGTCTTTGTAGAACATCAGAAGTGTTCGTACCCCTAGATGGGTGATTTTGTTTAAAATGTTCACCGTTTGTCTGATCTGGCAATGAAGTAGTTATCTCCATTCTGTGCTCTTTGAATCCATCACAATGTAAATTTACCAAATTCACCAATAATGGACCCAGATTGGAGCTGTGGATGTTAACAGTATCTTGGTCAGTTAGAGAAAGCCACAGATGAAATATGTGAAAATGAACTTGATATTAGTGAAATGTTTGCTACTGACATATATGATTAGGTGCTTATACTTACGTAGTCAAAGGAAAATAAAACTGAATTGCTTTGTTGGTTTTTTGTCTGTTGGGGGTACTAGGGATCAAACCCAGGGCCTTCGCTCTGAGCCACATGCCCAGCCCTTTTTATTTTACTTTTGTGTATGTATCTATCCATCTGTTTTGAGACAGGGCCTCCCTAAGTTGCTAAATTGCCCAAGCTGGGACTGAACCTCCAGTCTTCCTTCCTCAGCCTCCCAGAGTACTAAGGTTGCGGGCCTGTCACCATACCCACATTGTCATTTTCCTTTCTAAAATAAATTACCATAGTAATAGTGAAATTTTGTTTATCTGGAATTCTGAGAATGAATCATTTTTAATAATAGAAGCCCACATAGCCTAATTTCCAAATATTTGGTACGTTTTTCCCTGCAGCATACATTTTGCTGTGAATGTATTTCATAGTTCTTTACCTTCGTAAACGGAGCAAATGAAAATAATTTTACTTTTTCATTATGATTTAGGTAATTATGAGCATCATTTGTTGTGCTTCGTGGTAGGGAAAATTGTAGAGTTGTTGTGAAAAAGCCAGAAAGTGCTCTGAGGTCTTACATGTGCATTACATCTTTTTTTAACCCACCTGTCTAATACCTGTCCTATTTTCCTGCTGGGCTTAGAGTAACCTCTTTGCAGTGCTATCAGATTTATTTATTTAATTTTTTGAAAAAAGGTCTCACTACACAGCTCAGACTGACCTTCAACTCATCATGTAGCTCAAGCTGGCCTGAAACTTACAGGAATCCTCCTGCCTCAGCCTCCCAAGTGCTAGGGTTACAGGCATATGCCACCATGCCCGGCTTGCTGTCAGATTTTTAAAAACATACTCATGTTTCTTCATACATTGTACATAACATAGGTACGTAGGCTCCAAATATTGACTAATTTAGGTGGATCTGAGCCAATAAATAGTATTGGTTGCATGGATGTTGTAATACATGCTGAGCTGTCAAACATACCCTCTTTTATAATCTTCTGAGGAGAAGTATCCAGAAGGAAATTCAGGTTGCCATTTGCCAAAGATAATTATCATGCCTTAAAATTTAAGAACCTGAAGTTATAAAAATACATGTCAGGTTATAAATCCTCCTTTTGCTAACCCTTTATCTGGCAAAGAGCCATGCCATTTGTTGTCTCCTCAAAAAGAGAAACGCAGCTGTCAGTGGACCCCTTTTTTTCTTTTTTTGGCAGTATGTAGTAAGTGATTTTATTATATGGATGGTAGTGTTGGTTCAGCATTGGAAGATCCACCCCCAGAAGTAATCATTTTAACAAAGGAAAGGAAAAAGGCATATGATCATATCAGTAATTGCAGAAAAAGTATTGGACTAAATTCTATAGCCGTTCATGGTAAAAGCTATCAGGAGACTAGAAGTAGAAAAGAACCTTCTCAACAGATAAAAGACATGT